TCCAAAGGGTGGGGGCAGAGGCTGAAAGCCCAACCACTGATGATTGAAGCTGAGACCTTTACTGTATTTTTTGGAGGAGGACCTTTACACCTCTCCTCAAAAACCCGCCCTCGATCTCTCTAATCTCTCACACTACCGTCCCATCGCCAACCTACCCTTTCTTGCCACGCATTGTAGCAGGTCAACTTCAGTCACATCTCTCCCTCCACTCCCTCCTCAAACTCCTGCAGTCTGGTTTTTACCCTTCCCACAGCACAGAGAAAGCGCTTGTCAAAGTCAAACAACGTCTTCTTTATCTGTGACCAGGGCTCCCTCTGTCTCTTCGTCCTCCTAGGATCTCTCTGCCGTGTTCGACACAGTCGACTACACCATCCTCCTACACCGCCTCTCCTCCCTCATCCACCTTAGTGGGACCGCACTTGCATGGTTCGAGTCCTACTTAACCAACCGCCTCCATTTCATCTCAGCAAATGGTTTCTCCTTCCACCCCTGCCCGGTCACCTCTGGGGTACCCCAGGGCTCCATCCTTGTCCCTCTTCTTCTCCTTATCTATATGCTCCCTCTGGGCGATGTAATCTGCAGACACGAGGTAACGTCTTCACTTCTGCGGATCTGAACTCCTCAAGCTCCCTGGACTCTCCCTCAGGCTCACCAAACCAGTGCGCAACCTAGGCGCCCAGTTTGACCCCCAGCTGTCCTTCCTCCCCCACATCCAGTTCGTAATCAGGACCGCCTTCCTCCACCTCTGATACATTGCCGCCTCCGACCCCAAATGCAGCTGAAACCCTCATGCATGCGTTTGTCACCTCCCATCTGGATTATTCAAACACGCTCATTGCCGGTCTCCCCAGCTCCACCATTCAAAAGATCCAGCTCATTCAGAATTCTGCTGCCCGCATACTGACCCAGACTAAACTCTGCACCCACATCTCACCAGTTCTGGCCCAAGCTCCACTGGCTCCCCATCACCGAACAGATCGACTTCAAGATCCTCACTCACGTGTTCAAATCCATTCACTCTCTGGCACCTCTTTATCTCTCCAACCTCGCAGTCCCCAATCCACCACAGGGCGCCTCCGCTCGACTGGCACCAGACTCCTGCTTGTCCCTCGCACCCTCTGCCCCATCATCGGAGGTTACGCTTTCAGCCACTATACCCCAAAACTGTGGAACACTCTCCCTCACTCCCTTGCCCCCTCTCTCCCCTTTTTCAAGTCCCACCTGAAAATCTTCCTCTTCGACCGTGCTTTCGGCCACTTCCCCGCGGCTCGGAGACAGACTCCACCACTAGTAATCACTCTGAGATACTGTCCTGCGTGGAGGGCGCTATATAAGTGCAAGTTGTTGTTGTTGTATAACATAGCTATTCACTGTATAAACCTGCTGAACCAACAACTTTCATTTTCTGAGATCTTGTGGCACTCTCTGAATATTGAAGAGATGCTGATTCAAATTAGACCTTTATTAAAGATAAATGTGAACATGAGGGGAATAAATTATGGGAAATGGAGAAGGCTCAGGACAGATCTTATTGAAGTATTGGATATAGGATACGAGAGCTAAACACAAGATACTGTATCATGAACTCTACAGGAGTGGAGCACAAGCTCAGCAGAGGGCAATTTGATTTCATTACTTTGAATAGAGAGAAATGGAATGGGCTACTCAGGAAGCAGTTTGTGTCAGCGAATTCAAGTAATTTTAGATAGCATTTTTGGCAAATAGCTATTGAGGGGACATGAAATATAGTTAATGGTTTTCTTTAACTTTAGAACTGACCAGATGGTCTTTTCTGGTTCTGCGCATTTCTAAATAAATACATGATTTGGGCACATTTGTGAAAATTGAAAATACAGAAAGACACACACAATCACATATGAACTGCAACTCTTTGTTCTCTGGGTATGTTTATTTCTGTACAGAGCATCTGGCTAATAACACATTAAATAAACATAGACGTTTGCAAGTTAATCTGAAAAATGATTTCAGGCATACTTAATATTTTATGGTTGAGATGTGTCTATAATATTTTAGAAGGGTAAGGTTTGATGAAATGCAAACATGTGATATAATGCATTTTTAAAATGATTTTCTGGCCAGCAATCTAACAATCCGCAGCTTTAGTGGGAATTATTGTGACTGCAGATTGGTGTAAAGGATGCCTGGAGGCATATGCTAGTTTCAATAGTAAGTCACATTGGCAAATATATATTTAGGATAAGGTTGTATCAGCATTAATAGAGTTCTGTAGCTCAGTGGTTATAGACTCATCTCACAAGCGAGAGGACCTAGGTTCGATTCCCAGCAGGGCAAAATGATGGGCAAGTTTCCTTACTCCACACGCCTGTTTATCTAGCAGTAATTAAGAACCCGATTGTTAAATCGATTGGCGAATCACTTTTACGGGAATAATAATCCCTCCAAAATAAAAATTTGGTCACTCAATGCTGTAAGTGAATTAACTGTATATTTGTGGGCGAAACGCAGCAGCCAATTGTGCACAGCAGCATTCCACAAGCAGTCATAGATTGAGTGACCAAAATATCATTGGGTTTTTTTCTTGAGGGATTATTATCAGGCGTGTGGAGTAAGGAAACTTGGCCAAGCTGTTGCCCTACCGGGAATCGAACCTAGTCTCTCGCTTGTGAGGCAAGTGCTCTAACCACTGAAAAATGCAAGTAGATAATAGGTCGGCGAGATCTACTTGAAAGATTCCTGAAGGGATCCCATTTACACTCCTTGAATTCCTTATTTTGCTGTACGCAATTGGCTGCCGCGTTTCGCTCACAAAACACACAGTCGATCCACTTTACAATATACAACAACAACAAATTAAGGATGGGACTAACCGCGGGATTGGGACAGACTATTACAATTAATAATAATCTCTGCGTTTGATAAACCGCCTTTCGCGCGGGGAGTGCGCCTCAAAGCCATTTACAGGATTGACTGCAGAGTGTGGTGACTGCGAATCTTAGGGGCAAAGTGTAACAGTAATAATCCTTACACTTGACATAAGGGAAGGAAATCCCAGTAAGAAATACCCACAAAATCGGAGGCTGGTGGAGCTGGAGATGGAGGAGGAGCTGGAGGAGTGGAGAGGAGGAGGTGGAGCTGAAGGTGGAGGAGTGGAGTGGAGGTGGACTGGAGGTGGAGTGGAGCTGGAGGAGGAGGTGGAGCTGGAGGTGGACTGGAGGTGGAGGAGGAGTGGAGGTGGACTGGAGGTGGAGTGGAGCTGGAGGAGGAGGTGGAGGAGGAGGTGGACTGGAGGTGGAGGAGTGGAGGTGGACTGGAGCTGGAGGAGGAGTGGAGGTGGAGTGGAGGAGGAGGTGGAGCTGGACTGGAGGTGGAGTGGAGGAGTGGAGGTGGAGGAGGAGTGGAGTGGAGGTGGACTGGAGCTGGAGGTGGAGTGGAGCTGGAGGTGGAGTGGAGGAGTGGAGGAGGAGGTGGAGCTGGACTGGAGGTGGAGTGGAGGAGGAGGTGGAGCTGGACTGGAGGTGGAGTGGAGGAGGAGGTGGAGCTGGACTGGAGGAGGAGTGGAGGTGAAGCTGGACTGGAGGTGGAGTGGAGCTGGACTGGAGGTGGAGTGGAGGAGGAGTGGAGGTGGACTGGAGCTGGAGGAGGAGGTGGACTGGAGGTGGAGCTGGACTGGAGGAGGAGTGGAGGTGAAGCTGGACTGGAGGTGGAGTGGAGCTGGACTGGAGGTGGAGTGGAGCTGGAGGAGGAGGTGGAGTGGAGGAGGAGGTGGAGCTGGACTGGAGGAGGAGTGGAGGAGGAGTGGAGGAGTGGAGTGGAGGTGGAGGAGGAGTGGAGGTGGACTGGAGCTGGAGGAGGAGGTGGAATGGAGGAGGAGGTGGACTGGAGGTGGAGGTGGAGCTGGACTGGAGGAGGAGTGGAGGTGAAGCTGGACTGGAGGTGGAGTGGAGCTGGAGGTGGACTGGAGGAGGAGTGGAGGTGGACTGGAGGTGGAGTGGAGCTGGAGGAGGAGGTGGAGTGGAGGAGGAGGTGGACTGGAGGAGGAGTGGAGCTGGAGGAGGAGGTGGAGTGGAGGAGGAGGTGGAGTGGAGGAGGAGTGGAGGAGGAGGTGGAGTGGAGGAGGAGGTGGAGTGGAGGAGGAGGTGGAGGTGGACTGGAGGAGGAGTGGAGCTGGAGGAGGAGGTGGAGTGGAGGAGGAGGTGGAGTGGAGGAGGAGGTGGAGTGGAGGAGGAGGTGGAGGTGGACTGGAGGAGGAGGTGGAGTGGAGGAGGAGGTGGACTGGAGGAGGAGTGGAGCTGGAGGAGGAGGTGGAGTGGAGGAGGAGGTGGAGTGGAGGAGGAGATGGAGTGGAGGAGGAGGTGGAGTGGAGGAGGAGGTAGAGTGGAGGAGGAGGTGGAGGTGGACTGCAGGAGGAGTGGAGCTGGATGAGGAGGTGGAGTGGAGGAGGAGGTGGAGTGGAGGAGGTGGACTGGAGGTGGACTGGAGGTGGAGCTGGAGGTGGACTGGAGGTGGACTGGAGAAGGGAGGTGGACTGGAGGTGGAGGAGTGGAGGTGGACTGGAGCTGGAGGAGGAGTGGAGGTGGAGGAGGAGTGGAGGTGGAGTGGAGGAGGAGGTGGAGCTGGACTGGAGGTGGAGGAGGAGTGGAGTGGAGGTGAACTGGAGCTGGAGGAGGAGGTGGAGTGGAGGAGGAGGTGAGGAGGAGGTGGAGTGGAGGAGGAGGTGGAGTGGAGGAGGAGGTGGAGCTGGACTGGAGGTGGAGTGGAGGAGGAGGTGGAGTGGAGGAGGAGTGGAGTGGAGGAGGTGGACTGGAGGAGGAGGTGGAGGTGGACTGGAGGAGGAGTGGAGTGGAGGTGGACTGGAGGTGGAGTGGCGATGGCGATGCTGAGCTGAAGCTATGGCCGCCCCTCCCTGGGTCACCATAGCAACCGCGCTGAGCCGCCCGGGCAGCGCGGAGGCCCAAGTGCAAACCGATGGCGTGTGGCGTTACTATGGCGCCGCTGATGCGGAGATCGCCACGGGCTGAGCTAACGGCGGCGGCGGGTGGTGGTGGGAGGGATTTAAGAGACGCGGCTGATTGAAAGCCATTTGCGAGAATGATGGAACCGGAGCGAACCGCCGGGCGCCGGGACACGAGTTAGAGCCGCCGCTGTACATCAGGCGGTCAGTCAGAGGGTCGGGCGGTCAGTCAGTCAGAGTGGAGGTCGGTGACCGGTTCTCTGGTGTTGAACGGCCGCCGGTGACTATGTTTGGCGGTGGCGGCTCTGCTCGGGGGGGGACCCCCCTCCGCCTCACCCGCCCTGTGCCGACCCTCCACAGACCGAGGACGGTGTTGGGGGTTTTGAGTGGAAACGATCAGCGGCTCCGATGGTGTCCGGTAACTCTCATTTTTATTTTTTTTATCTTTTAAAAAAAATACACATTCGTTGCTCCCGACTGCGCGGCGACTCGTTTTAGACCCCGACACCACTTCACACCTCTCTCTCTCTCTCTCTCTCACTCACTCACTCTCGAGCTGCGTTTAGTGTATTTTTTTGAACGTAAAGAGGCAGTGGGCAGTGGGCAGTGGGGGGGGGAAGTGTTGGTGTTTTACAGATTTCTTTCGTTTGCAATGAGTTGCGGGGGGTCGTCCCTTCGTAGTCCTCGAGGATTTGGTGTTATCCCCAACGGTTTGACCTGTTATTTTTTTTGAACACTGATGTCCACAGACGCCCAATAAACCGCCTCTCGTTGCATTGGGCGCCGAGAATGGATTCCCCTCCGGTAAGAGCACTGGGGCACGTCCTGCGGCTCCGGCCGTCTCTGTGCCCAACCCCAACCTCAGTGTCCACATGGAGGAGATGGAGGAGGAGGAGGAGGAGGAGGTGGTGCTGGAGGAGGAGGAGGAGGTGGAGGTGTCTGAGGGTCACCTCAGCTCCGAACTGGAGGCCAAACTTGGACAAGTGGAGGGTGTCTCCAAGCAACAGGACGATTATTGTTTGTACTTGGACCTCAGCGAAGGTAGGACTCGAACATGGGCACAGCGTCTGGTGTCTGTCTGTGTGTGTGTGTGTGTGTGTCTGTGTCTCTGTGTGTGTGGGACCGACCCACCGACCGAGGATTCCAGTCTCTAAATAAAAGCCACACACACACACACACACACGTTCCGGATCGGTCGGTCGCTGCTCGCACACGAGGGGCGGTGTGAGGGGAATGGTGACCGGGGACGGGGCCCTTCCTACATTCACAACTTGTGGTGTTATAGTTATAATATAATAATCCACGCATTTGATATAGCGCCTTATCTATTTGTTAACCTTCTTGATACACAACTAAAATTGTAACGCGTGCTACCACACACTTAACTCAAAACTAAGGCTAACTATTATTTGTTGTACACTAACACCTTTTTTTAATAGGTTTAAATATAAACCTCAATTAACTAATGATTCTATTCCAGCTTCTCCTATGTTAGTGGATTCATCTGTTAACTCGCAGTCCCATCACGGTTACTCGACTGACAGTGTAGATTACCTCGCTGCTGAAGAATATACAGAAGATATTTATCGCTACCTCAGGGAAGCAGAAGTGAGTTCCTAGAATGACTGCTATTTAATGCAATAAAAATACAAATGTGTTTTTTTTTGGTGAGCTGATTGTCTGATGTCCGCATTAAACCCATCACTGCGCTTAAAGAGAATCCAAACTGAAAATTCCAGGGATCGGTTGCTGGAATGGAATGGCTCTGGAGGGATGTATTCTGCTTCCCGAATCCCAAAAAATATTAGGTGCAGGTTGGCACGAGCCAAGGCACGGGGACCCCAGAGTCTGTTAGGGTACTGCTGGAGTCTGACCAGCTAGAACCGCATAGCTTGCCATTGATATTGCTGTCTGGCAAACTTTCCTGAGAATATCACACTTATCAAGTGATCACTTTGCATTAGTGATATAACAATATAGTCGAGCCACAGGATAAACCTTGTTCCAGCAGTGACAGTGTCTGGATTAGGGCATCATTTGAAGCACCTTTACCAAAAAATGGATATACAAAGCAACATGTTGTGCTACAAACTAAACAAAATGTAAAAGATTCATTTCATAACTTGGCTTTTGTTAGCAATAGAACGAATAATTTTGCTGCCAAGTATCTTGCGAGGCTGAAACAGCAATTCATTGTGTATTCTTCTAGCCTCTCCTGAACCTATAATAATGCTTTGCTATAAATGAGCTTGTGTAAACCAATGCCCTAACATTAATGTAGTTGCCTGGAGTGTCCTACCATATTGCCACTAATATTTAATGAATTGAACACCATTCAATTGTTTAAAACTTTACTTATGATGTGAGCCCACTGAACAGTTATCCATGCATAGGGTGGTGAATTTTCAATCTCTTCTCCCCCCCCCCCCCCCCCAATCCTATAGATACCAGCTGATAGTGAAAAAAGTAACTTGCATCGTTGAACATTAAGCTTGCATTGCTGTTTGTGCCCTTGCTTACATTAAAATACTGTACTCATTGTTCTCCCAATTTCTTTTAAGTTTTGTTGTGCACATTGTCTTGTACTTGTGTTTTTTGAATCTCCTGCCTCTGTTTATATTTAAAAAAAGTGAATTGTATAGGTAGGAGCTCATGTTTGCAATTAATTTGGGATCTGAATGGCCAAACTTGCTTACTGACTACTCAGTTTGTAAATGTTGCCAAATCCTGGGATTTTTGAATATAGAATAATAATCCTTGCATTTGATATAGCAGCTTATCATGTCTTCAAGACATTTTGAAGTGCTTCACAGAATATAGTGGAGGTAGATAAATATGCATTAGGTCAAGGTATTAAGGGATATGAGACAAGGGCAGATAACTGGACTTGAGGTACAGATCAGCCATGAATTTATAAAATAATAGCTGTTTATAGTGCAGAAAGAGGTCATGCAGCTCAAGTCTACCCTGGCACTCTGAACAATATATCTAAGATGTAATGGAAGATTTCACTTGTACAGTAAAACTCAAAAATAATATTTAATGATGTGAAGTACAAGTTGCAAACAAACTTGTAGAAGTTGTGCAAAATCCAATTTAATCAATCTACACTGCATGTGTACTTCTATGCAGCCAGTAAGTGTGCCTGGAGTAGTTCATCACTAACTGGTAAGTGTACATGCAGTGACTGGTCAAAACTATTTTCCCCACAATTCAATGCATCTTGACCCATTGCCAAATGCACACTTGCCAGTAAGGATTGGAATCGCATTGGAATAAAGAATGGAAGGGGAGAACATCTCGTCTGTTTTAGTACTTTTGAGACCTTAAGTAAAATCCAGGCGAAGATTGGAGTGGGGAATAATATTGTAATTGACTACTCGTCTAAAGTTGGTAATGTTCTTGGAGAAAACGATCTGTCTTTTTCTAGGTAAAATTGAGGCCAAGGTTTGGGTATATGCGGAAACAGCCAGACATAACTACTGGTATGCGTTCCATTCTTGTGGACTGGCTTGTGGAAGTTAGTGAAGAGTACAGCCTGCAAACCGAAACCTTATACTTGGCAGTAAACTACTTGGACAGATTCCTATCCTGCATGTCAGTCCTCCGAGGAAAACTGCAACTTGTAGGAACAGCAGCTATGCTCATAGCATCGTAAGTCTGGTCCTTAAATATCCATATATATGCTCAAATGTATAATCACTTAACTGATTCAACTGAGTGATGTAAGCCATCTTAACTTGGTTTTAATTCTTGCCCAATAACTTTTTTTTCCAGATGAAATGCATGAGTTTCTAATTTTTTAAAGTACATTGAAAGATTATGTATGCTAAATTAAGTTTCCAACTTTGAAACTATTCTATCCTAGGAAATATGAAGAGATTTATCCACCAGAAATAGATGAATTTATCTATGTAACAGATGACACTTATACAAAGAAACAACTATTGCGCATGGAGCACCTCCTTTTAAAGGTTTTAACATTTGACATGGCTGTTCCCACCATCAACCAGTTCCTTGTACAATTTCTGAAGGAAGAAGAAACTAGAGAAAACATGAGTACCCTTGCTATGGTATGTATGCAAACTTGGGAGAGAAATGATGTTGCTAATCGAGGCTTGCTCTCCAAAACTGAAGGAGCACTTCACTGTTATCTCCTTTGGATGAAATGCTGAACTAAGGGTTGGTAAAATACTATTTTAAAATCCTATAGCAATTCATCTTCTTGCTGTAGCTAGGTTCCTTTTCCCTTCCTCCAACAAACCTGGCCCCATAATCATTGAATGAACACTGTTTTAGCATCTGCAGAAGAAGTGTTGAAATCTGGGTCCATTTTATTTGAAAATGAAACCTCTTCACAAAGAGTGCCTCCTTTTTAACTTGTCAACTAATGACTCTTTCTAATCCACAGTATGTAGCTGAACTGAGCTTGCTAGAAGCTGATCTGTATCTGAAATACACTCCCTCAATAATAGCGGCAGCTGCATATTGCTTGGCTAACTATACTGTGAACCAGACTTTCTGGGTAAGTTTATTATTGTGCTCTCAAAAGTTTAACTGGATAAATGCCCTCCCCTCCCCAAAAAGTTAACTTAATCATTATCAACTAATGGTCCATTCAATTTAGTGCCTTCTATTAACTACAAGGCAATGGTATTTGCAGAACAGATGTGTAGTGCAAATTTTCACAGCCACTGTTGTTAATCCCAGCTTCACGTGACAACAAACTACCCAGAGTTCACCTAGTTCTACTGCTTGCTCACTTTTGCTATGTGATCTGCTCTCTTGACAGCCTGATTCTCTTGTTGTTTTCACTGGTTATTCACTGGCTGAAATTGGGCCTTGTCTGAATGACCTGCATAAGACTTTTCTCCAAGCCAAATTCCAGCCACAACAAGCTATTAGGGAAAAGTACAAAGGCTCCAAGTAAGTTGTTTTTTATAAAAAAAATAATAGATGGGTTGTTCAGCTCCACTTTAATTAACTTGATGTCACTTGATATGAGTTAAATTGAACTAAACAAGGTTGCAGGTTTTGATCAATTGGGTAATTAACTGAAGCGGCAGTGAGGGTGCTGCACTTAGTGTGGCCTTTGGAAAAGGTAAATGTCAGCCAGGGTTCCTGCCCATGATTTCTATGCCATTGCCACTAATGGAAAGTACCTGAAGGATCTGGTTGAGCTGTGCTGACAGACCTTGTGAAACAGCTTGTTCACTCCATTCTTTAATGTGTGAAGATGCTTTGCTGAGGGTTCTGGCACCAGTCAAAATGTACCACAGATAGATTGGTGCTTTCAGTTGAAGGGATTGAATGTGGGTCTGTGCTGGGTCCCATCCAATTGCTAATATTTATTGCCTGGATTCAGATTCATTCAGACCCCCCTTTGAGACGAGCATTGTAGTTTTAAAAATATATTTTTTTTACTCAGGTACATGAACATTTCTCTGATTGAGCCACCAGCAACTCTACCTCTGCATGGGCTTGTCTGAAACAATTCTGGATGAAAGGAATATCTTTGCTTGATCTGATATTTCCCATGTTTGCACTTGAGGGACAACTGCTGGTCAACTGTCTCAAAGTGGCTAAGCTGGCTGCTACTTAGGGGGTGGGTTTGTTTATAGACTAACATTTTAAATAAGGTGCAATTTTTAAACTACAGTATTATTAATAATGCAGGGTGGCCCTGTTAGAACACCCTCCAGTCGGGTACAAGTTCACTTGAGGTGTGGGTCCACTGTGGGCACTTCTCTATACTTGGTGCTTACAGCACTGACTCACTGGCTTCCTGTGCTAACAAATGGGCAACTTCAGGTCAGGTTGTCGCTTATGTTGCTTCCTAGCACGTGTGTGCTTGCACAGCAAGCAGTAGTAAAATCACGTCCTATTACTGCAAGGGAAGTGTGACTGACATCACTACTTACTACATAGGAAGCTCCATTAAAATAGCTTTGTGAAGGCAGTGATGTCAGCACTACTTGTACAAAATGCACATGGAGGAAGTGATGTCAACAGTTTAAGTATATTCCAATTTTTTTCATGCTTTACTAACAAAATATCTGATATTGCACCCAGACAATCGTGTTATAACTGGGTTGCCCTGTATTAACCTTTTTAGTATTTAAAAAGGGCACTATTCTTGTGAAACCACAACTATTTGCATGCAATTGAAGTTAACTGAGGCTTTTGGTCTATTCAAATAAGCTGTTAATGTTGTTTCATGAAGATAGTGCTGCTTCAAATGAAAAGTAACTTTCCCATGTTGACCTTGTTTATAAAATTGAACTTATTCAGCATAAGGACTGTACATCTGTACTTGGCATTTGGACAACTAATAAAATCTTTTTAAATTTGAATGTGCTTGATGATTTCTGTTACTTCTGAAATATACTGGACAAATAATATCTGACATGTGCCTCCTGAAATACATTATATAACTAAGGCTGACTTAGTGCAAGTGGCTTTGAAGTTCTTTTTCTGACTAACAGAGGAAATAATAATCTGAAAGTGCCTTATCACAGGCTATACTGTAAAGTAATGAAGATGATGATAATCTTTGTATTTGGATATAGCATTTATCATATCTTCAAGACATGTCAAAGCGATCACACAGAATATACTGTAAAATGAATTGACTATATACTTTATGGGCGAAACACTGCAGCCAATTGCGCACAGCAATTTCCCACTAACAGTCATGGATTGAGTGACCACATTTTTTTTGAATGGATTATTACCCCCAGAAAAGCGATCCACCAATCAAATAACAACCGGATTCCTACTTACTACATGTAAATGAGTTGGTGGAAAAAGTACAAAGGTTTTTATTGTTAATAGGTCACAATTGTCTGCAAAGCAACATTAATTAGTACAAACTGTCAATAGCACTCTAAACATTTCTATTGATTATGCTTGAGCAGAAGCAGAATAGTTATAACAAGTCAATCATAATATGGAGTATTAATGATATTACAGATTACGCAACCTGAATGTGACCTCGACACAACCTGAATACACCGGGAATAATTAGATCAAGGCTTATGGTAATAATACACATGCAGCTAAAGTCTAACACTTACCTAAATAGCTTATTCAAAATGCCATGTAACTCAAGACAGACTTCATGCAGAAACCTTAGATGGAGGGAGGATTATTTAATAAGTTACTATATTACCTGTTCTGATTCTTTCTGAAGAGTCGATACTGTGGCTGTTATGGTAAATGCAGATCGGTCTCTCTCCTTCCTGGAGTCACTGCTGAAGCCATTGTGGTAACTGCAGGTCAGTTTCTCTCTGTCTCCTCCGCTCTTGGAATGGGATCGGGTTGACTTTTGGCTATGGTTGTCAGGAACCACAGGATGGGTGATGGTCTTTCGCCGGGGTGTCCCAGAGCAGTCGCGGAGTGATCGCTGGGGTACCACAGCGAGGTCTCCCTCCTTATCTATCTAGATCCTTGACCCCTTGGTCTCTTAACTTAATTACAGAAGGTGTAATGCACTTAGTGCAGCATTCCTTGTTTCTCCTGGTGGCCTTTTCCCCCTATTCACTAGTCTCTTCTCTCCTTATCTCTCTCAATGGATGGTGCCATTTTACATGGTACATATTGGGGAGAGTTCGCAGACGTCCCATGCTTGTTCCTCCTCGCCTAGCACAATCCTCCCACTTCAACTAATCTCCCTGTACCAGCCTCCTTAGCTCCCAGACCTTGAAACTGCATTAGTCGCGACTTTGTTACTTTGACTGATTGTCTTGTTCAGTCTTTTGTCCTGTTTTCCTGATAGCAACCATCACTAACCGGTCTGCCTCCGGCTGCTGACTCTGCTGTCTCGGGGTCACATGGCTTGACCAAAGTTTCCTTGAGACACTTTACACAAAACATAATGAATGTAATTACTTTGCACATACACCGGTTTCTTACCCTTATACATATAACGATTATGCTTGTCTTATTTCTACGCATACTAAACCTAACAGCTCCACCTTGCAGGAGATGCTCTAATATTGACACCTCACATACGCAGTAACTCTTATTAGCTTTAATCTATCATTAGTACTTTGCAGACACCGAATGGTATAACAAAAATAAAGTACAGTAAACAATAAAATGACAGTTGATACAACTTTACAATGATCAAAGCATATGATGCCAACTGAGTAAAGGGGTTCTGTCCCACATTGTATGCGGTTTCCCACCATTTCTACGCCCCAAGGGACATAATGGCTTTTTCCATTTGTTGGTTATGCTGGCGCATTTTAACCAAGTGAACCTGAGAAGTGTGTGATCGTACTACAATCACTCGTAATCCAATAGACAGAGAGGGGATATAATGGCCACAGGGAACCACTGACATCGGGACCTCATGTTCAAGATGAATTTTTACCTGACGTTTTGTAAGGTTATGGATCAATACCGAAAGTATGTTTTGAGCTCCCACCTGGGTATCATCGCTGGGTTTCCAGCAAAAGGGTGAACTTGAAATAGGACAGCTAACCTTCCCAACCTGCATATATTTTTCACTAGTAGTTGCATAGTATTTGCCCATACCTTTGAAGGAAATTTGGGTACCTTCCCATTGGGTGGTGACCTTAACTGTGCTCCATGGGTCTTCTCTGTCCGTGGTGAAACCACATCCAGGTTTGGGATCCTTGGTCACTATCTGCCTGGGTATTCCCCACATGCAGATCATCTCACGCAATAACACCTGTGCCGCCGCAAGTGCAGTATTGGTTTTGGTTGGGAATACCTCGATCCATTTCGTAAATTTGTCAAGTATTACCAAACAGACGTGGTCTGACCCAGGGTGAGAATGGAAAATAGTAAAAACTCCCTCTTGCAGAGATGGTGGGACACACTCTACTGGTATCCCCTGTGGTTTACTGGCCGGAGTGTACATGAGCACCAGGGAGGGCAATTCGCTGGAGTTGGCCAGTATAATCTCATGAGCCCACTCTGCAGGTTGCAGGAGAGGTTGCCTGGCCTTGTGCCATTCAATCACCAAGGTGTACAGGGGATATGAAGTTTGTTGTGTCACCAGGTCTATTGGTGCCGGGCCGTTTACAGCGTCCACTTGTGATGACACTACTGATGCGAAGGGTGGTGGTGTCCACATTACTGCTTTCTTGGCAGCATACTTCGCTGCTTGATCCGCAGATGAATTCCCTTGTGAATGAGGGTCTGTGGATTCCGCGTGTCATTTTACCTTACCCAGAAATAGCAGCGCTTCTCAGTCTGAAGGTGATTGCCATATGTTCTTTAACAGTTCCTTATGAGTCAGTGGCTTGCCATCTTTAGAGCAAAAATCGTTGGCTTGTTAGAGGGGAAGCGTTGTGACTGTATTCACTACATACCATACGTTGGCAGGAGTGTCATGGGTCCGCACAATGGCCTCCTGAAAAGTTCTAATTCAGCATACTATGGTATCCGGCATGGGTATCCGATCTGTTTCCCATATCATCCCATGTATCGGCGTGGGTGGAGTCCAGGACTGTGACTACTGCACTTGTGAGCACCCTGCCCGGATACCCTCTCTGTCTGACTTCCTACTTCTTCTTCCCTCTCTATTCACCTCTGCCCTGGACCAGGCTCAGGTTCTCTCCTACTGCATGAATGGCTGGCATACCCTGAATTGCCTCCACTAGAGCGTATCGATGTCCCAGTGCTACCTTTAACTCTTTGATTTGTTTCAAACAGTCCCGGTGGTCCCCTCCCGGATTCTGTCTGCTCCTTTCTACTTCTTCCCTCAGTGCACCCTGCGGCAGGACCAGACAAGCAACTAATTTAATTAACAGTAGGACAGTACTGTAACTCAGAGAGGACTATTAAGGAAATCAATAATGCTCAGGGAGCGGTAGAAATGTCTGAGGATAGCAAAATGAAAGGTCTCAAGGAGACCAACAACAACAAAATTACTAAGTAAGTGATGACAGGGTCATCAGAACTATATAAGATGGCTCTTCCTAGTTTGACTGCATACCTCTGTGTTAATAAAATTACGTTGTGCCATATTGGTTTGTCTGGTCATTGATTCGAACCTTGGGGATCAGAAATCCCAACAAATTAGCGAGCCAGCCAGAAGGGCGTGTATCCCAAGTCATTGTGATCAGTTGATCAAGCTGGGAGCCCATAGGGTAAACCGCTCTAAGATAACCTGGACAAAGTTGACATTGGTCGGAGTATAGGTTTAAATTAGCAAACTAATCTGGTCGGAGAAAAATTGGTTTCAGTTCTGCGTGTGTGTTAGATAAGTTATTGCTGTTTTACTGTTCTGTCTATTGCCTAGTATAGCTGTATAAGGGATACAGTGTATTTGATTTGTCTTATTCCAGTAATGCTCAAAGCCAGCAGGCAAGGATAGAGGGAACACCCACTGAAATAATATTTCAAATTTCAGTGGCCAAACTATTTGTTATTAATGATGTGCTGTAATTACAGATGCTAATATTAGTTGAAAGGAATGATGTGGTGGCTGAGGTAAAAGGGAATCGGGAAGATTCTGATGGTGATAGTGGGCTGTGCTGTCAGCTTGACCCACTCGAGGTGGGGACTGGACATTTTGCAATCCCAGAATTCTGGTTTGTCTTAAGATGACCAAAAAGAAAATCATAAAGGCACATGGACTTGTTTTGCTGAAATAGAACTGAATCTATGGACTCTCAAGGACATTGGTAACGTCAGTACGTAAAGGTTGCCAAGAACAAATGGAGCATACCGACTTTAAAGGATATGTTTTTAACCCTACAATGAATGGTAAAAACAAGCTGTTGAAGGTCTCACTGCAGACTTGGCATATGTGACTGAAAATCTCTAAATTTGGGAACTAAGAAGTCTAACCAATCTTGAGAAAATAGATAATCCTCATTCAACATGAATTGTACCACATTAACAAATAGATTCCTAATTGCTGTATTAATCTGATTAATTAAATGCACCGAACTTTATTACTCACGTCTTATGCTTTTTTTGATTGCCCAAGCTATAATTTTATTTACAATGATTATGTCTTTATGTTATTTGTGCTCCCTATTTAGGGCTACCTGGTTGCAATTTGGACCACCTGCAGTTATCTAACTTAATAAATCATAGATAAATGAGAGATCGAAAATCTTATTTTCTCACTCTCAAAGTGGGAACTGTTAGATTATATTTGTGATGGTTACTGTTTTTAAGGCTTTTAATTAATCTATATAGTTTAGAATGTAACCTACCCATAATCCCTTAATAAGGTATGGTTGATTTAATGACTAGCTGAGCAGGGGATAAAAGTAGTTGGGCTGGACCAGTTAAGGTCAGCTTCTGATTAAACGGCTACAGTCTCAATACCTACCTATCTCAAGGCTGAGAAACAAGCAGGCTGTGG